AGAGGCCCCGGTTCCCACACTCCCCTGAGAAGTCCCCTTAGGACTTAGAGCCCTTGGAGGACTGACCTGTGCAGTATACATGGGATCATATGAATGGAAACATTCATTTGGCTATACTACTTAACCAGCAAGAGCCAGAGATCGATCTATCTATCTATCTATCTATCTATCTATCTATCTATCTATCTATCTCTGTCATCCCTAGTACAAGAGTCACAAGCACTTACCATTTTGTCTGGTTTTTATATAGGTGCTAGGGATCTGAACTCGGGTCCTTTACTGACTCAGATATCTCCCTAGCCTCAACAGTACATATTAACTGGACATAATATCTGCCTGGCAGTCTTGTAGATAAGAGAGATACAACAAAGAAGAAAAACATAAAAAAGTGTCTGTCCCCAAGGAGCTCTTTTTTGTGGCATCTATAGTACTGCAAGAAGCCCACAACACTACATCCTGGAGTCACCACGCTGGGTTAAAGTAACTTGATAAGCAACATACAAAGAACACCACTAGATAAATCAGGTGGATGCTGGTGATGAAGGGGTCCAGAGAGCTCCCCACCCCTAAAGGAAGATTGAGGAAGAAGTTAACATTCCAAATAATGACAATATAGAGAAGAATTCATCTACATTTTATTGCTCTTAAGCAACATTGCACAAAAGACACATTATTTTTAGAGAGCCCACCCCTGTTGCCCAGCATGGCACATATTTGTAAAGACAAGGCTCATTAATTCACATATTTGTTTTATCAAATAAAAGTACTTGAAGTTGGCTACAATGAACCCTTACTTCCCAGAGTTCTGGAAATGATTATATACAAAAGCGCAGTGGAATTTATTTCAGCCATTCGTCAATAATATGTCACTCCTAAGTTGCCCTAAAAAAATATGGCTTTATAAAAAGTAGTTTTCTGTAAGTTGCAATATTAAGAGGTTTATTATAATTCAAGTTTTAACTCTATAACATCCATGTCACAGCCTTAAAAAAATTATTGCTTATTGATTTATCTGAGGTGTCATTCATTATACACTAACCCAGCATGCGGAAGTCAGTACAGTGTGACTACAATGTACAATGACAAAATTTATTCTGCTTTCTATCCTGGAGGAAGGGAAAAAAATCATTCTATCTTAAAAGTGTTAACATAAATAAGAGCTACTCTGGCCTACAAATGAAACAACTTCATGGCTTTTTGTAAATGGCTGGTGGCTCTGCCCAAACCATATTTGTACTAGCTGCCTTCTTTCTAACAAATCAATTTTTCATCATTGCACTATTTCTGAGCTGCAAACAAAGCTCACTAAAGTTATGATAAAATTGTCAGTGTATAAAGGAGGAGGCTCACTCGTGTACCCAGCAGCAGACATTGGTCTCAGTGACTACTTCTCATATGCCCTGAATCCTCTCAACCTGAGGAACCATGGGCTTCACCTAGTGAAAGCCCTGAGTAGACACCAGGTTGGAGAAGACACTGACTGGGAGCAACCCAGGGCAGTCGTTAAGCTATGCATCAGTAATTTATATAAGTTTTCTAAAATATAAATAAATACTGACTGGACTAATGTTGTTATATGACTGATCTAACATGCTAAAGTGTAAGGACATGTATACTTCCCAAGCTACTGTTTACCTTGTGTCCCCACAAGGAGTTTAATTCTCCCCTCAATTGAAAAGTATGTTAGTGATCACTTGCATCTTGAACCAAAATGCTAAATTTTCAAATAAATCACTAAAAACTACAAAAATTTCAAAGCCAGTGCTGTAACCTGACCACTTGAACCTAATGTCAACAACCCTGATAAAAACATCAGTGCATAGATAGGACTCACACCTTCTCAGCACCCTAGAACCTCTATTACAGTATTCAGAGCACTAAGATGAGGCACTCACAATGGCTTTTAAATCCTGATTAACAGTGTTCATACAAGTCAGTTCAACACAGTTAATACTAATTATTAATAATACATTAAAACCCTGTCATGACAATTTTTGCTACAATGTAATCATCAAGTCTTCTCTGAAAAATACACTTAAATGTAGGAAAACAAAAGCTGTACCACAAAAGAAAAAGAAACCCAACAGAGCCACAGGTGTTCTCAATGAGGACATGCAGGAATGTAAAGTAGTATGTTGTTAAAAGAAAAAAAGAATACACTAAAATGCCAGTGGACTGTAATTCACTCTAAACATCATTAGTATTCATTCCCAAAGATCTCGATCGCCAGTAACTATGTCACGAGATCTAGCACAGCCATCTTTTGGAGCGTATGGTTAGCATGGTCCTCCTGTAGTAGCAGGGGCAGTCTTTGAAGCCTTAAGTATCTGTAAAAATAAGGGGAAATCTAAATTAAAGGACCAGTCAGCAGACTGTGAAACTGCTTTATTTTCATACTACTTTAAAAAAACACACACACATCAGCTGAAGCAAATGTTTTGGTTTGTTTTCAAGGGGAACGTGGTAACAGAATAAATTAACAATCCGGAAGTCACTGGCCATCACTTGGCAAAGCTGGTGATGGAAGCTGGGGGCTCCTGAGAACAGCTGACAGCACCAAACGGAAGAATCTCAGGTTTATGAGAAACACAGACAGGCCTTAAAATTCTTCCTCCTACCAATGATTTTAAAGAAACACACACACCCCCAAAAATTGAATTTGTATTTGAAAAATAAGCACATAAAGAATTTCCAAAGGTGACATCCAAATAGGGATAGGGAACTGGCTCAGGGTTAAAGAGCCCTTGCTTTTCTTCCAGGGACCTGTGTTTAGTTCTTGACACCCATGTTGGGCAGCTCACAACCACCTATAATTCCAGCTTCAGGGGATTGGAGGCCCTCTTCTGGCCTCCCCAGGCACCCACACACATACACATAAACATTTATCATTTTTAAATCATTAAGAGAATAAAATAGAGAATAATTTTATGTTAATCTTTACTGCTGTTGACAAGTACAAAGTATTTTAAGACAAGCAAAATCTATTCCTATTCAACTTTAGATGTGTATTTTTGCTCCAGTTCTTAGTGTGTGGTTTGTTTCTCACAGCACTGTTGGTTTTATACACAGAATCGGGTAAGAAACAGAGTGGGTGCTCCTAGTAGGCAGCCAAATGTTGATACAATTTCTAAGGCCAGATTACTGTTGAGGCTTGAGTGTGTTTCCCATAAACTCATGTGTCGGGAATCTAATATAAAGTCATCTACAGGGTGGTTTTCAGGAACAGGCCATTTTGGAACAGGTTGGGAGGTTGAGGACCACTGACAGCACTAGTTTTCTGAAAACAAGGAAAAAAAGCACCGAACTAGCAGGTTTTCCTTGACTCCCCACATGATATCCTCCACCCTGACATGATGTAGTGAAAAGGCCATCACTAGAAACCATACACATGCTGATGCCATGTGCATGGACATCCTGTAGAACTGTGAGCTAAATGCATGTTCTTTACAAATTAGTTAAAATGTTTTATGACGATGACATTCCCTTAAGTGAGAAGACAATATCCAGTGTGTGTGTGTGTGTGTGTGTGTGTGTGTGTGTGTGTGTGTGTGTGTGTGTTTGCTAGCTTCTGTCAAATGACAGGAACCTAGACATATTTTGGAAGAGGGAATTTTAATTGAGAAATCCCTCCAAAAGATTGACCTATGGGCAAGCCGGTGGGGTATTGTCTGAGATGTGGGAGGGGCCAGCATACTGTGGGCAGTGCTATCTCTGGACATGAAGTGTATAAGAAAGCAGACTGAGCAAGCCATGGGGAGCAAGCCAGTAAGCGGCATTCCTCCTCTGCTTCAGTTCTGTCTCTGATTCCTGTTCTGCCTGCCCCCCTGCTGGGTGATGGACTATAATTTGCAAAATGAAATACATGTTTTCCTCCCCCAAGTTGCTTTTTGTTGATAATGATTTATCACAGCAATAGAAATGCTACGACACTACCTGTCATCCATCTATTCACCCACCTACCTACCCACTCACCTACCCATCCATCCATCTGTCCATCCATCCATCTATCCATGCATAATCTATCTATGTATGTAGCCAAAACAAAACCCAAGCCATTATATAAACAAGAACTTTTGTTACTCATGTGAAGCAACTAAAAAGTATACATATTCCTTTATTTACCTAACAAAAGTGAACGTTTAATATAGCAGCTTCCTTCAGTAGCAAAAAAACTAGGAATAATTACTATATCCACCAACACCAGAATGATAAATCATTATTGTATGTTCATAGAAAACAATAATGGTAAGATTGAATAACTGTACCTTACAAACAAGGTAACTTAAAGCTTACAGATGTCATGTTGAACAACAGAAATGAACCACAAAAACATGTGTGTGAGTGAGACAGAGAGAGAGACTCTAGTTACATTGGATTCAAAAGCAGATAAAGTTAGTCTAGATGTTGTAGGTCAGAACAGCAATTGTGGAGACTGCTGACAAGAAATAGAGAGACTTTGGGGGCGCAAGATGTTTTCTAGAATATGGTCTGAGTATTTATAAACATGTATAAACATGTAAAAACTCAACATTTTAGCACGTCTCAGTATGCAAATTATACCTCAATAGGAAAAGTTTAAAAACATCAAGCTGATGTTATACTATAATTTAGAACTTAACAACTAGCTAAACTTTGAGAAAATAAGTAGTTCTGAATTATACTGAGACAATGGGAAGTCATTCAAAGTTTAGCAGTAAATGTTCATTAAATGGTAGGGAGATGGGATCAGCCATTAAGAGTCCTTGCTGATCTTGCAGAGGACCCAAGTTCAGTTATCAGCAGTGCTGTAAGTAGGCTCACACTGCCTGTATCTCCACTCCAGGAGATCTGCTGTTCTCTTGTCACCTCCGTGGGCACCTGCACACATTTGCATACTGCCCTACTGGTGCACACATAATTAAAGATAAAATAAATCTTTAAACATCCTAGACATTGCAATGCAACTTTCATGACTTCAGCTTCACTAAGATGCAAGCACCCTGTCAAGCACAAAGCTGGTCCTTGCTGCAGCTGCCCTTCATCTCTCTACCCTAGGTGTCTCCATTGAGTCCCACCCCTCACTAACAGAACCAATCCAGTGCTGCTGCCCCACCTCCCCCCCCCCACAAATGGTTTATTTCTACCTCTAATTTCTGTAAATGCTTTCTTTCATTCTGCACTGCCCAGACCTACCACTGCAGTCTGAGCTAAACTCCCTTTCCCTTGTTCACCTCCATTCTCTTGACAGACAACCCTTTTCAAATCTGGACTTGATGCTGTAACTTCTCTTCTTGAAATGTTTTAGTGTTTTTTGGCTACTTTGGGGTCCAGATTTACATTTCCAAACACCATATAGAAGACACTATGAGATGCCAGAGTGTGTACCACCATGTCTTCTGATGTCTTGGGTGATACACTGTTTTAGCCTTTGTCAGTCAGCATCTGCCCCCACCTCCACATCACCTGCCAGTACACAATGACCAGTGAGACGCCAACCTTCTTTTTGCATGGCCCTTTGGAGGTCAAGTGAATTACCCCTCCTAAGAGCCATCTTTCACACTACTCTGAGAAGTTAATGACATCACATTTGTTTGGCCACGCTGTACTCCTATTGGATTCTATACCGGGCCAGGCACTATACTATTGATTGCATTGGCCAAGGCAAAGCCTATGTCATAGTAATTGTTCAATACATGATTTTTGAATGAATGATCAATAACAACAATAACAAAAAAAGTTAGTGATTATTAAACACTGACCACTTTGACCATGAAACCAATCTTCTCTTTTACCTCAGACTTCTAAGGCTGCCAGTATTTAAAGTTCTGGGTAAGGGGAACACTTGGATGGGAGTTCTGGCTGGATGTACTGGATGGAAACCATGTCCACTGCTGGACTGTTCCATAGTGGGCTGAGTCAAGAGTGTGGTCACCAGCTTCAGAGGGCCAGGAGCAGAAGAGTTCCTCAGAAACCACAATGTCCTCACACCTCCCTTCTGCCTCAAACCATCCTCAAATATAAAATGATGTTATTCCACCCTTTGGCTGCACATAGAGGCAAACTCTGTGTGGAGCCACTTAGTTCACAAGGTCTCAAGTGTTGTTGACTCCTTCATTAGGCATTCCATTGATGCTATATGGATCTATGCTAGGAATATGCTGGGTGACTTCAAATAAAAATGGGAATTTAAGAAGGTTTAAAAAAAAAGGAAGGGAGTGTAAATATTTTAATCAGCTTAAAATATCTGGTATCCAAAATATTTAATTTCTAGTATCAGAATGATCATTTCTTCAGATTGGTCTTTCATGCACTACAGAGCACCAACGCGTCTACAAAGGGGACAAAAGTTACATTATTAGAAAACTTTGCTATAGGCCACAGATCTTCAACAAGCCCCAGGTCCTAAATGACAAACCAAAGAAGACTAAGAAAGACATGCATGTACATGGCAAGTATAATTTATCATGCTCAAAAAAGCCCCAGAAATTTCCATCAGCTCTATGACCTTCATTTCCTCAAAATGTTCTAGAAAACAGCAGGATGGTAGTCTCTGGAGTCACAATTTATTGTGTAATTGCACTCCTACTAATCACCGGTGGGGCTTGGGGAAGGTCTTGGCCTTGCCACACCTCAGCATCCTCACTTGCAAAACTGACACTACTGCAAATCTAACCTCTTTGGTGTTCTAAATGTAATGTCCTAAAAATCCACCAATGTAACGCCTGATGAGTCGAAGCTCTCACTGTTTCCTACCATGTGACTGTTGATATGGCTGTAACGCCTTATGGAGCAACAACAGTAAACACAACACCATGAACTTTAGTAAGCAACAGTGAGATTGTGTGGCCTAGTCCTGGAATGATCGAAGAAGGCAAACATTTAGCATTTTCCAAAGTCCTCCAGCTCAGCTTCCCAGAGACGGGCTCTAGTGAGGGAACAGACCCAATGGCTATGTTCCCACACCTCTTGCCATCAGACAATCAACACTTTAGCAAAAGCAGTCAACTCACTGAACCAAAATATCATAACTATAGATTTTTCTGTACAATTATATAATGCCAACTATAATATGAAGCAACACTAAGTTCAAGATACAGGAAATGAGCAAGCCACTTACTTGCAAAGGCTCAAAGTGACTACTGGTGATTCTGAACCTCACACTATTTTGCAGCAAAGTCAAATTCCAGCCATGGAGAGCACCTTGTGAGCGTCTACAAAGTCCACTTACAGGGCCCAGTTCAGGGTTCCAGCTCCTTTGCTTTCTCTCACAGATCAAACCAATTAATCCCTGAACAGAAACAGCCACAATCACCATTCCCCAAGACCTCATCACACACTGGGAACTCTGCATGGACCATATCTTCAGTTCTATGTGCTGTTATTGAGGTTGCAAAGTATCTCTCCTTAAAAAGCACATTACTCCATTACCCAGATAACCACTTGGTTGTGTATGTTCCAAAATAATTAGGACATCAGTTTGTAAGACACTGATACAAAAGCACGGAGATATACAGGCTCAATCCCTTTCAGTGCAGTGAGGCCAATAATAAATTTAAAAGTATAGACCACAACTAGAAAAATACTCTTTGGAAATTCATTATTTCTAAGATTATTTCTCAAGTGCTTTTATTGAAAGGTTTATAGTCATAAATTCTAACTCCATAGACTGCTCTGCCTGTCAGTGTCAAGTTATGTTCAACAAGAAACAGAAAAACACAAGTTTCAGCTTCACTTGCTCTGCCTACCTATTCAAAAATAACAAAATGTACAATGTTCCATAGTGATCATATAAAATGTCTCCATGGATACCTTTTCTCATTCATATTGTAATACCAACAATTCAGGTCTCTAAATTAAATATTTTGGCATATTAATTAACATACATGTACATGGTATGAAAACTACCAAAACCTAAAACATTCCATCCACCAAATAAACTAAGACACACTGAAGCACAATTAAAAACACGAACTAGTTTATGGCTATTTTTCATCCTGAAATACAGTATTTGATTCATTTAACAGGTACAATTACTCCTACCACAGTCTATAGCAGGTATCCACACCACTGCTAAAGATTTGTATTGCACACAGTCTGAAAAGGGGTAATCAGTGAACCAAGATAAGAGAAAAGCAGTAACATACAGGAATGGTAAGAAATATGACTTGAGAAGAAATTTAAGAGGAACTCTAGTAAAACATCCTTTCCCCTGTCTACACCAATCCCTGATCACCAGGACAGTTTGTTTATGTCACTTCTGAAAGGCACTGGAAAACAACAGCTTTGGCTCAAGGGCCACTCCTGTCTCTGAATTCACTAGTTTGATAGGGGACTGCAGGGGCAAAGGAGAGTGTGTGGAAATGGGTTCCATACCGTGGGCTACTGGCCAGCCCTGCATAGACTAGGCTGCCCTGGGCACTGAAGTCTTCTGCATAGACTGGAGCAAGAGGGACAGTGTCATAACATACACAGTTTCACTTCACCCTGAGACAACCATTTCTATATCCACTATCAAACACCCTGACAATCAAAATGGAAAAATAAAAACTACAAATCTCTAACTTACGCTCTGCATCTTCACCAGCATCTACAATGGCAAGCTCATATGGAACTTTACTAAACACTTCTTAAATACTATACAGCATACGTGTATTAGTCTGAACCAGGAATGTGTTTTCCATGACCCTTACATCATTAAAACACAAATGTCTTTTTTTAAGTATAGAAATCTTCTTCAAGATTTTTATCCACTATAGATCTGTTTCATAAGGTATTTTATGTATTTAAAATACCAACAGTATTTTAAATTCAAACAAAAAAAACAAAACAAGTGGATCTAAGGAAATGTCATACCTGGTGGAGTGTCTTGCTGTTCTTCCACAGAGGGGACATTTACTTCTAAAATTAAACAAAGCAGAAGTCCATTACATGCTGCAGATCATAGCTATGCTAATCACTTTCAAAGAATTCACCTATGATTTTCATAAAAGCATTAAGATTTTATACCACGATGACAAAAGAATTAGCTACAGTTAAGCAAGGCTGCATATTTTTCAATCATTTGCAAAACAGGCTTCAGGATGGGACCCAGATGACCCAATCACCAAGATCCAGGTTCTCACCACAGTTTGCAGCAGACTCAATAAACAAAGAGGAAAGAGCAGCCAGCACCTTGTTTCTTCTGTAGAGAATTTGTCACTGAAAAATTGTCACTGTTGTCTCTTGGGTACAGTGGACAGGACCTCAGATGTGTGCATGTACTCTCCCTACCACTCCGGTAAGACACTCAACCTACTTCTGCTTAAAAAAGTTTTGCCTCATACTTGTACCACTAACTTTTTAAAATTTAAAGTTTTAAAAAGTACCAACACTCAGTAAAGTTGTTTTGGGAAAAAATTATCTTCAAGATGAATCTGTATTTTATTTTTATGCTTTGGGTGATGTCCACTGTGTAATGTAAAAGGTCCAAGCCCACTTCTGAGAGGTTTGAAAATTCACCAAAACCCACCAATCCCTGAGTTAAAAATCCCACCAATCCCTAGGCTTGCCTTGAAATCCCACCAGTCCCTCGGCTTGCCTTGCAATCCCCACTCTGGAAATCTCCACCCTGGAAAGCCCCGCCCCCAAGAACCCTATATAGAGCCTGCCTCCTGCTCAGTTCCCTGCTGCTTCTCCCCAGAGTAGAGGCAGCCACCCTCCTGTGTATTTCCCAATAAATGTCCTGTGTGAGATTTGTTGTGTGGTGTGACCTTGTGGTATTCCTTGGTTCCCAAATGCCAGGATACCTTTCCCTTCAGAGCTGAAACACTTGAAATAGGAAACCTCTCTGCTCAGAGCTGCAACACTTCCCCCGGGGAAAGCCTTTCCCCTCAGAACTGTGTACTGAACCTAGAGCCTTGCACACCAGCATGAGCTACCACTAAACTCTCCACCCCACAGGATCAGATATTCTAAGATGACTCGAAGATGTGGATGTAAACATTCACTTGTTTCTTTTGCTGCTTCAATTGGAGAGATCTAAGAAGACTGCTGGCATCACCAGTTAATCAGATTCGTTCTATAAATTATGTCACATACTAATTTCTTCAAACCTAGCAACCCACTTAATACTACCTTAAACATAAGACTGTTAGCTTTTGTTTCTTAAGAATTGTAAGAGGCCAGTTACGGTGCACACCTTTGATCCCAGCACTAGGAAGGCAAAGACAGGAGAATCTCTCTGAGTTGAGGCCAACTTGGTTTACACAGCAAGTTCCTGTACAACTAGGCTACATAGAGAAACTATGCCTCAAAAAAAAGAAAAATGGAAAAAATTGTGAGCAAATTTAATTTGGAAAGTTAATTTGAAAAGGTTTCTTATTACTAATATTCAAAATATTGATATGCCTACTTTATTTACTTTTGTTCTTAATGAAACTTGTTTTTAATTATAAAAGTTATAGGCTCAAAATAGAATATTAAAAATACTTTACATAAAAGAAAACAGAAGCCTGGGTAGATTACTGGTGGTCTATTTATAATTCCAAATCCCGGCATTCCATTTCCTACAGGAGTTCACTGTGAGTTGCAGACCAGCCTGGGCTACATAGAAAAAAAAACAGTCTTTAAAAATAAATAAGCAGAAAATCTATCCCCCTCCCCCTTTTTAAAAATAAAAAACAAAGTAAACAAGACTGGAGAGATGGTTTAGCAGTTACGAGTACAGAGGACCTGTGTTTAGTTCCCAGCACCCACACGGTGGCTCACAACTGCCTGTAACTCTAGTTCCAGGACACCGGGTGAATTCTCCTGGCCTCCACAGCAGCAGTAAACATATGTGCACTGCACATACATATATGCAGGCAACATACTTACACAAATAGAAATTTTAAATCTAAAGATAAAAAGAATATAACAAAATCCCTACCTGCTGTTAATGCACTAACATCTTCATTTTCTCCCTATCACTGAAGTCACACTATCAAAATGTCATTATTCCAAGTTAAATTAAATTTTCAGCTAATTCTATCCTGAAAAAAAAGGACATTCAACAAACTCATCTGAAAATTTCACTCACTCAAGTATCATGTATTTTGGTCTGTGATTTTAAAGATAAAACAGCTGATTAATTCTAGCAACACAACCTAAACACAGTATCTATTATGTCTCCACAGCTTAACTTACTCCAGAATTTTCCTTTTTCCTGAGATTTTATTAGATGGTTTAATTTTTCATGACAACTAATGAACACTGAAAGGCATCAAAATCTAAATAAAACTGAAACTCAGTGGAAAGTTTAATGTGTACAAATGTGCAAAGCAGAAAGATTTGATAACATTACTAAGCAGAAGGGAGACCACACCTGGCAGGAAATTTAGGCAGAAATTCAACCAGAACACTAGTGGGAATTTAAGATTTCTTAGAAACGATCAGACGCTAATCCAATTTATCATGATTTTAAATACAGCATTGAGTACAGATTTTAAATACCCTCTTCTGGGTCCCTTTCTAGTTTCCAGACATCAGTCTTCCTGGCTCTGACAGAGATATAATACATAAAAAGGTAGCGGCTAAGATCCACATGAGAGAAAAAAATGATTGTGTTTGCCTTTCTGGGCTTGGGTTTCCTCATTCAGTGTCTTCCAGTTCCATCCACTTTCCTGCTAATTGTATAATACTATTTTTCTTTTTTTTTAACATTTATTTTATGTCTCCGAGTGCTCTATCAACTTTATGCCAGAAGATGGCATCAGACCCTTCTATAGATTGTTGTAAGTCACCATGTGGGTTCTGGGAATTGAACTCAGGTCCTCTGGAAGAATAGCCAGTGCTCTTAACCACTGAGCCATCTCTCCTGCCCCAATACTATTTTTCTTTATTTGGCTATAGGCTATAAAGAAAAGCAGAATTCCTCCAAGATTTTTAGTAACCACTAAAAACTGGCCTTCAACCCATCAATTACTCCAAGTCATGCCACTGCAAGCCAATCTGAAATTCATTTCTACTGATTGCCTGCAGTGAAAGCAACCTTCCTGGCACACCTGGAAGACAGTGGGTAGGTACACAAAGATCTGGATTTTTACATAGATCATCCTGATGGCATATGAAATGTGGATCCAAAGGGGACAGGCACTCTGAAAAACATGGCTAGAGGGCAGTTGTCGTCTACGAAGAGAAGGTTTGTACCAGACAACATTCCAAGAACGACAGAGAAAATGAAACAAGGAGGAGCAATAAAGGACTTGAGATTAGCTGTAGAATAATCCCTGTGTTACTTGTCTGAAATTCCAATACACTGACTTAACCAACTACAGCAACAGAAGAGGGAGAAGAGATGGCCAAGGTGTTAAGTTCCCACCTTGATGTTGCAGTCCAGCAAGAGCCATAGATGGGATCAGGGTCCTGATGTTCACCAGAGATAATTAGTAGTCTATCATACTGTCAAAATGTCTGAGAATTCTTAGAAAGGTACCATGCTTCCAAGCCTGGAATGTGTGGTAAAATCATGCATGGTGACTGTGGTAGTCAGTCTTGACTCAACTTTATTGAATGTGGACTCAACTAAGATACACAACTCTGGGCACACTGTGGCAGGATTAACTGAGAGGGTAAGATCTGCTTACAGAGAGGGAGAATCTTCAACAGCAACCCAGACATACAGAGGATGCAGAAAGAGCAGTGGTGTCTCGTGCTGGTGAGCACAGCTATCCCACTGCCTCCGTCACCCACTGCCATCAGTACCCAGCTTCTTTGTCCTTACAACTGCACTGAAGACCAGCAGCTCTCTGGGAATCTTCAGGTCCTCATCACCACCTTAGGACTGTTGAGGCATAGGCTTTGTGTACTGAGCAGTTACTAGGTTATCGGTCTCTCCAGTGTACAGCCAGCCAGCCATTGTTGGGCCACCTAGCCAACATCAGATAAGCCAATCTAATTAATAGACAGCCTTTTGTAATATATACTCATTATGGAGGTCCTGTTCCTCTAGAGAATCCTGATGTTAATTATCTTCAAGCAAAGAAGGGTCCATAAAATTCTCCCTAAGGGTTTTGGCTTTCTGTTTTCTGGTGTTCACTGACTCGGAGATGTTCAAGATGCTGACAGGAAGTGAGAGAAAATCCCAATGCAACTGTCACTGGTACCTGAAGATGACTCCGGTACAGGTGTCTCCCCATTGCAAGTGCACAGAAAGATAAATCTAGTCACCAATCCTTCATACACATTTCCTCAGATTACACTTCAATGCAGTCTGCCAAATCAAGCTCAGAGATACTAACCTTTAGCTGCAGTGTATCTCAGTAGTGTGCTTACCCATGGCAGGGGCTCTGACAGAAAATGTAAATAAAAACTCTAAGAGTAATTATTTGAGGAAACTTCTCCTTCTTTCACATCTGCTATGGCAGAACTCTGCCGAGAAAGCATGAATGCTCACACAGTCAAATCAGGACTCCAGGGAAGGGGCACTCAGCCACTTATGCCTGTGGAACCAAGATCAACCAGGATCACTCACATCTCAGTAGGCCTTGTTCTAGTTTCAGCACATTTGTATTTAAAAAGAAGAGGAAGAAGAGGAAGAAGAGGAAGAAGAAGAAGAAGAAGAAGAAGAAGAAGAAGAAGAAGAAGAAGAAGAAGAAGAAGAAGGCACAAAGATCTTTGCCCCATCTCCTCCTCAATGTCTACCTTGTGAAGACCAACCAAAATAATCCACATGGAACTTTCTATATACCAAGAGCTATTGAATCTACTATACTGAAACACTGCTACTTAACTGAGTATAAGCAACTATGTTTACTTTTCAGAAAATATCCCTTCATTTCCAAGAAAATTGATCAACCAAACAAACAATAACTATGTTTTCCCTCCTTCGCATATAATATAATATCATGAACCATGCAATGTCCAGCAGATCCCCACCCAAAAGAACCCTTTACCACAGGGTGCAGTCTCCAAAGTAGTCACTTACTCATAAATAAGGGTAGCCCTTCACCCACATCCATGTCTCTCATAGCAGCCTGTTTCTGTTACTGTCTTTGCACTCTTATTATGTTTGCCTCTAGAATGGCAGTCTCATGAAAAGAACCCTGTTGGCTTCATCCATCCCAGCATTGCTTGCCCCCCGGGCCCTGGGTAAACACACAGCTCAGCACATGTTTTGAATTAAACTGATCTATTTTGATGTAGAATATAAGATCATCTCTATAAAAATAACCTACCTTCTGAAATTATGCTGGAATCTTCTACAGCATTATCTAAAAGATAATAATAAAAAAGACAAATACATTACATTAACTCACCTCCACTTAGATTAGTGGTTCTCAACCTTCCTAATGTTTCGACCCTTTAACACAGTTCCTCATGTTGTGGTGATCCCCCAACCATAAAATTATTTTGTTGCCACTTCATAACTATAATTTTGTTACTGTTTTGAATCATAAGGTAAAATAACTCTGTTTTCTGATGGCCTTAAGCAACCCCTGTGAAAGGTCCTTTGACCCCCCCACACACAAATGGTTGAGGACCACTGACTTAGACCCCCCCTAAAGTGGCTAAAATCCACTCAGAAAGTTTTGTCTGGGCCGGATCTCCTTATGGGAGACTCCTGAGTATTTATATCACAAAATCAACTTTAATTCTTAATTGTATTCAAAAGTTTCATCAAAGAGACTAATCTTACTCCTGCTGATGTAAAATAAAAATTCTTCTGTGCCCATGGGTTCTACATCCTCCCATTCAACAGCCAAGCATCAGAAACACCCAGGGCAAAAGGGAAAGTGAACATGTACAGGCACTGTTCTCTTGTCATTTCCCTTCACAATAGAAGGACTGCAACAGCTACTGACATAGCACGCAAATAACATTCCAGGTAAGTAATGCAGGGATGGCCTGAAGCACTTGGGAAATACACACACAGGTTACAGGTTGCAAATGCTGTCCTGTTTGATACTAGAGCCTAGAGTATCTTCATATATTGATATCTCTTGCCATCTAACACCAGTCTCACTGTAGATACCCTGTGACAATTCCTACTTGCTTCTTGGTGGCTTGTGAAATCTATTGTATTTTCTATATCTCTTCTTTGCTCCACAGCTATGCAGGTAAGAATACAGTCAACATTAGAAAAACTCACCTGAAATCGCTGTCCCTTCCTTTTCTGAATGTTCGTGTACTATGAAGTAAACAGAAAAAATAAATAAATAAATAAACCATGTAGCAGTGAGTAACAATAAAAATGAACAATGTACTATGTTTAACTTTCTTTCACTTATAAATGTTTTAACTCCCCAGCTTACTCTCTAACAATGTGTATTACAGAGCAGGGTGGGAGGAGTTTGGCTAAATGATGTAAAACAAATAGTCTGGGTTCAAATTGTAGCCACTGGGTAGCCATGGGAGATGGTAATTTCATAAGCTCCTTCTTCACAGGGGGAAGTACAAGCTCCTCCCCCAATCACTTGTCAGTGAGAATCACTAGTTGACACTGATTCTCTTTTCTGCCTTCTTCTGTCTGTGAGAGCTCTAGCCTGCTAATTATCCTGGATCTCAGACAGTCTCTAGTTTGCATAGGGATTGTTTCTCAGATGGTTACCTGGGGACAAACACCCCTGCAGCTAACCTCTTAGCAGGAACTGGCTGAAAGGACCTTTAATTTACCATGGTAACCAGGGCCCAGTGCCCATTCCTGCTGCCATCTGTTGATGGCCTGGAGTTTCTGTGCTTTGATGCAAATACTGTGTCCATGGCCCTCCTCCACACCCAGCAGCAAGCAATTTCCTGTCAACTGACCTTCTAAAATGCTTCCAGTGTTTGGTATACCAAAAACAAACCTAGTCTGCCTCAATAATAAATCTATCCATTTATACATTAATAAAGAACTGCTTTTGAGTATTGGCTATTTTTTAAGACATTATTCTGGGCATTAGAGTACAACCATGTCACCCAGCAGTTAACACTTAAACATGTACAAACTTCTACAGACCTAGGGAGTGAAGCCAGTTATTTCTTGGGCCAGGTGACTTTTGCCCTGCTTTTTCTACCTCAATCAGATTTCTGCAGTAACTCACACTTAATCACCCAGTCCTTTTTATACCAGGCAGCAGAAGTGTGCTCCCCGACACAGGATCTACTCTTGATCCCACTATCCTCTCAGAGGATTTACAGCCTGGCTCCAATTACCAGACAGAGCCAGGAATCCCACAAGCACTGGACTTCACTGCAGGCTGAACACCACCAAATGGCTTCTCTGGTCTCAACTCCTGGGTAGTTTGAAGCACCCTCACTTCCAGTTTTTATGAAACTAGACTCAAGACCTCTAGGTATCCCAGTTTCTCTTTCTTAGAGAAAAACCCACCATCCAACAAGCCAGCAGAGGAGTCCCAGTTCTTGGCTCCTTGTTCTCTGACTTACCATCTACCTACACACTGCAAACCCTAACCATTTTACCCTCCAGATATTTCTCAGATATGTTCACTGCCCTAGTTTCCTGGCATAAACCACTATCATTGCCATCCAGTCTGTCCACCGAAACAGCAGCAGGGATCACATGGCTCAAACATAGCTCCTAGAAGCACCAGGCCCCACCAAACATCCTTTCCTGGAACTTACCTCCTTTGGGTCCTCAACTGACCTAACATGACTTAAGGAACATGTCGGAATTCAATAACTACCATCATCTAACCATCTCTCCATTACCTACCCTTGTCCATCTTTACTTTGTTCTACACCAGATCCATTAACATATTCAGAATGCATATCTGACTCTGCAGTACCCTTGAGTGGCACCCCAAGATGAAGATGAAGTTCTTGACCTCACCTACACATCTCTTCTGGGCATGGATAAAGGGGTCATTTTAGCTCCATCCCCCTCTCGCCCCAGAGAAACCATAAGCAGACATCACGAACCACACTCATTTCTGGGTCCCTACACAAGCCAGCATGTCTTTGATTGCAGACTTGCAAGACAGTGAACTGGCTCCCACAACCACCTGTCAACTATAACAAAGGCTGCATTGGAATCATTGGCTAATTTCTTCCTCCTGCTACACTATAAAGTCCGTGAGAATAGCAAACACATGTGTCCATGTAACATATAAATAAGTAGCTCAGTGGGCTAGCAAGGCTTGTGACATCACTTCCTGGGTTGAAGCTTTAAGGCACATCTGTGAGATGGAAAGGTGGTACCTGTTCTGTCAAATCATGTGTTTCCCAGGTTCTGGAGAGTTTGATGAAGAATGTACATGATGCTCTCCCATTGTTTCCATATGATGAAGCTTCACTTATATATATAGTAAAGTGATGCAAAGCATCCTACCTGGTATCCATTTAGGTCAGGTCATGATCACTACCTCTTGTTAACATTGTAAAATAACACTTACTATAATATACTTCTTGTGAAAAGTATTGCCATTAACTATGATATCTGACTTAACTCTTGATACATTTGACGTGAATTCTTTCAAGATGATTGTTAGATGTTGCATGATAATTATAGCTTGGAACATAATTCTTCATACTTGAATGTAAACTATGAAACAAATGAGTGCCTTAGGATTAAGAGATATTTACAAACCTGGTTCATCATAGTCTTTGTGTGTTACTTCCTCTGTAAAAAAAAAAAATGGATATTTAAGACAAAATAAGTTATTAAGTAAGATATTAAAGCTGTGGAACTAAAGGAAAAAACAAATACTAAAAAAAAACTTATGTTAAACAGATTTCTAATTAATGTTGCAGTTACAAAAATATGTCCCTGCCCAAAAGGAATATATGTAAAAGAAAGAAAATTATTCTCATAAAACTGCCTGCTAATAATATGTAAAAACAGCCTGCTTTGTTACAGTGGGGCTGTCAGTAGGAGAGGAGACAAGCACACAAAACAGGACAAAAAAAAAAGTTCTACTAAAATCGCATCTCTAATGTTTATAAGAAAAAGCCATCAAATAAACACAGTAACACCTAAGACCCTTTCCATGACTTAAAAGTGAATGGCAATGCCCATCTAATACCTGCATCCTGCTGTGGCTCATCAGCATCTGTTACTGCTTCACTGGGATCTAAGAAGAAGAAAAAAAGATTTTACCTAATAACAAACAACATACATATCACAGATGCCATTCTACAAGAGTCACAAATTAATTCGAATCCTAAAGCTCTCATAAGGTTGTGGCTTGGATATAAAATGTTCCCAAAGGCTCCTTTGTTGGAGGCTCAGGCCCCAGTTAGTAGCACTTCTGAGAGGTGATTAGAGCATAAGGTGCTAACCTCATCAATGATTAATCCATCAATGAATTCATAGCTAAATGGGCCATTAGGAGGTGGGGCTTATTAGAGGAAACAGGGGGGGGGGGGGGTGTTCTCTGAGTACAGCTTGCCCACCCTTCACAAGCTTTTTGCTTCCCGGCTACCATGTTGTAAATAGCCTCACTCTGCCATCTGCTCCTGCTGTATAATATTCTGCTTTGCCTCAGACCCAAAGCAATGGAGCTAATGCCTCCAAAACTGAAATATATGATTCTGTGCTGGGAAGTAGTACAGTGGTAGAGTGATTGCCCAGTACTCAGACTGCCCTGGGTTCAAACCCAAGCATCACCACCAAATAATAATAATAATAATAATAATAA